CTCCGTGGCAGTGAAATCACACCAGCTTACCTCAGCTGCTTTACGACATGGACCCGTTGTCAAAAAACGAGTAATCAAGTAATAGAGCTCTGAAAATAAACATTGAGGCGACACGCCGGGAAAATGAGTTAGTACACCAATTAGGATGAATTATACGGTGTGAATTAAAGCTTTCAAATGTGTTTACTTTTGCGGCTTACCCGACTCGAGGAGCGAAATGTTCCGATTTTTGGCCATTGAATCGACCGTGATATTGAGAGATTAAACAAATGTAAGTCTTACTTTAAGACTAAAAGAGAAATGATTTGTTCTACTGAATCAGATTACAACGGTATATGTGCACCTCCGAGTTGCTCCCGCTTTCTGTTCAGCCTGTTTGCAGTCGCCATTGGAAGGATGAGGCCTCAGCGATACTACTTACTTCCGCCACAGCGGCGTAACACAGGAAAGGGGGGGAGGAGCTCCTTCAACAAAAGACACAAGTCTGCTTCATGACAACATTTACATTATATCCTAACCATGTATATCCAAACATGTTAATACCAAAACACTATTTGTAAAAAATGTGTTTATTAAAATAGTTTTAATTGCACAGTGCAGCAGATAAATCCATTACACTATATCTCTAGGTTTAATAGTTTTATGAGTATTTCGGACAACTCCTCCCTGAGGAAAGGGCGGTTACTTATTTATCGCCTAATTCTTTGTTCCACTTACAGACTGCTTTGATTTTTGGTTGTGATGGAGTGCTTTGGTTTAATGAAGGGATGTTTCCCTTTAGTGTCCAAATTTTTACCACTTTTAACTTACATTTTATTCGGGACTTTTAAAGATTTTTAAAAGATGATCAAAAGTTTAGCAGCACAAACTGCCTCTGGATAACAGGCCACAAAAAGACAAAAAAAATAATGTAAGCTGAGCGGTAAGAGTGCCCCCGCTTTATTGCCATATCAAATAATCATCAAATAAATAACTATCAAATAAAATGGACATTTTAGTATCTTAGACATTTGGGGGTAGGAAGTTTCTGCGTTTTATTCATAAAGTTTTCACTTAAGGGCTTATAGCAAGAAGTAATGATTTTAGGTAAGAGGCAATCATCCAAAATCAGTGCTTTAGATAATTATCTGTATGCACAGCGGAGTAGAATATATAAGTGATCACAAATAACACATTTAAGAGAATATCTGCTTTAATCAGCATTTAAAACATGTATAAAAAAAGAAAAAGAAAATAAACTGTACATTGGTAGAAACATTATTCAAACCACACTGGATATACCGTTAACCAACATGTGTTTCATAACCATTTTGTGGAATTTTAGGGTAACCTTTGAATGACAGATCATGACAAATCATTTTCTTGTGTAAAATATAATGTCTCTGACTGCAGTAAGCTGTCGCAACAAATTGTAGTTGTAGTGAACATTGTTCAAGTTAACTAAGCAAAACTAAGCACAGAAAACACCTCTTGAAAATTTGGTTATCCTGTTACCTATCAAATACATTGTATTCAATTTCAGAACTGTTCAGGATACAAAATGTGAATATCTCAGGTCAACTCCTTGAGATCATCAGGAAATTCATAATATGGGCATGACTACACAGCATGCTGCAGACCACCACCTAAATGAAGGAAATTGAAAAAAACTTAAAAAAACTTAAAAATACAAAAATAGGACAGTTACTGACATTTTCCCTTCAGGGAAGCCTTAAAATTGAGTGGAAATTGTAATGTTTTTTTTGGTGTATTTTTCACTTTGCAAAATACATCACTGCCCTAGGACAATCGTTGATCAAAATAATCTCTGCATCAAACAAAAGAGGTACTCAGAACTGTGGTGAGTACGTTTCAAGATGTCACAACTACTCCGCTCCTCCATTCTCCTCTTCAGCCTCCTCCTCCGCTTTTGGGGCGTCATCTGTTTCTGCTGCAGCTGGCTAGAAAATAGAGAAAACATGCTTCATCATTAGTTTATTCTAAAAATTGTCTAAGTGCAAATGTCACATGATAATAATGAAGATGACACTTGTTATACCTCCTGAATGTTAGCCTCCCTGTTTTCTGTTGGGGTCTCTACTTCCTCTGCATGAGGTTCTTCATGCTTGTCCTCTATTTTGGGTTCTATCCCCTTTTTGCTTGCAGGAGTTTCCTCTCCTTTTACCTGTGTCTTCTCCAGCTGTGGTACCTGCAACACATACAGTAAATTATGTTAGCCATACAACTAACAACATTCTACAAGAATATTAGAAAATACTCCAGTCTTTATAAAATTAATTTTTACTTTATTAATCCCGCAAGGGGAAATTTGGTTTTAATGAACATGCTACACACACATTGGCCGGAATACATACAAACAAGATCCTATGGACATGCATTAATGGAGAGGTGTCAGAGTGAATGGGCTGCCCACAGCGAGCGCTCCAGAGCAGATTCTTTGGGGCGCCTTGCTCAAGGGCACCTCAGCAGTGCCGGGACTTGAACCGACCACCCTCCAGTTCCCGGCCTGAGTCCCTACACAGAGCTACTGCCGCCCCTTGAATGTCAGTATCTTTACTTAGCTACTTACATTTCGAAACCGTGGAGACTTTCTTAAAGGCTGAAAAAGAAAACATACAAAATGTATAAATAGTAAAGTCATTTGAGCATTTTTTTTAATAATGCAGAATTCTTAAGAGTCCCCCAAAACACCGTCTTATCCATAAAAGTGATAATAGAGAAAATGTAAACCCAGTAGGAGATTGCTATGAGCACTCAAGACACCAGTTCATGTCTGATTGTTTCCTCATTGCAGAATAATGTGTAAGTTGTTACAAAGTACACAAGCTCTCTCCTGTGAACATCTGGCTCCTTGTTTTTTATGTTGCGTTTCTCACAACTCCTTTAAATAATTCGCATTTTGAATAACAAGTTAAGCTTAAAAACGTAAATTTGAGATTCGTTTGGAATAAATAATGTAGTAATTTGGGATGCCTGTATTCCAGCTCCCCCTAGAGGCCGTGCAGATCCTCAAAGCAAACAGAACAACAATTTTATAATAACCTGTACATTCAGAAAAAGTTATTGACCCGTTTATCCTGGTCCAGTTTCTCACTTGCATAATTACACCGGGAGATAACTGACTCTGCAAATGTCATCTTATATGAACCAAGATAGTTTCTTTGTCTTTACCCAAAGAAGAACACAATGTTCATTTTGGTGACAGAATGTGTATTGTCAGTTTAGAGACGAGACCTGAGTACTGACCTCTGTACTTGCATCTGCAGCACTGGTAGACTGTGCAAGAAAGAGAGAACAAATGAAAAAACCAGGATAAACATTAGTTCATGAGTGAGCTGAAGTGGGTGTGTAATGCAAAGGGGGGATGGGCATTTCTCCCTCCTTAAGTCACAGAGAAATTATACAACCTTAAAGTAGTAGAGTCCATCATGTATCTAAATAGACAAAAACAATCTGCAAGCTGTAAGTTGTATCGTACCAAGTACCGTCGAGCATCGTGCATGAGTCAGGAGTGTTTTAAAGGCGCATGTAGACTCTTAAGTCGGAGGGAGGTGTCGCTTCCGTGCACATGTTTTTTCCATCATCACAAAGGTGAATCTGAAACGTGTTGAAACGTATCAAAAGCCCAGGCTTATTTAATAAATCTGGGCGGCGGAATCGTAAGATACCAGATGAAATGCCACGGCTTTAACTTTATTGGAGTATGTCAGCCACCTCTCCTCCTAAAAAAAAACAAACTCTTCTCTAAGGGATGCTCAGGAGTTTTCTCATACAGCCAGAGTGATACATCTCAAATCCTTTTGCGTGGACAGCAATGACTGAATACTAATGCCTTCACACTGTACACACATCCTGAGGCAATAACGACTTTCCCTCGAAAAAGCAACCTGTGACTCGACGATGGTTACACCCCTTTTAAATGTTGTCAGCACACAGCGAAGGATTAACAAATTAATATCAAACCAAACACTAGGTCAACATAAGACCAGACCATGAAACATCAAAACTGGTTCTATGAATGTGCACTGTGGGATATAAAGTATTTGGCGCCACATCGCTGTATTAACTGGTTAAACAAGCCTGAGCACAGCAAAGGTGGGCTGAATTAATGCACATGGACGCCGTGCACAATGCATTTATTAAGAATACACATACAACCCTATTGTGTGCGTCCACACCAAAGAGATAACATCACCATAATGGAGAATAAGTATTTGTAGCCTATGCATTCCACAGAGTGCATGTATTTCCACTTACCTTTTTCTTTCCCATTGCTGCAGTGAATTATTCAGCAGAGAAAAACCGCTTGAAACAAATTTCACAATGTAGAAAAGTCAAGGAGTCAGTAGTGCACCTCTGCCTTCTCCTTCACAGCTGTGTGTTATTAAACATTAGGCTACTGTCCGAACATTACAATAACCAGCGCCAACCGGATTGGATCCATTAGTTCAGAATATTTTATCCTTATCCTATCCCACCTACCAGGAGGAGTTTCTACCCGCCCCTTTCTTCATGTGATTGGCGTTGAGGTCGAAGCGACAGATTTTTTGAAGGAAACATCTCACCTGTATGGGCAGTGTGTTTGCCAATCAGTCAACACAAGAATCATAGTTTTTATAAACACAAGCTGTCCCGACTCCCTAGTCAGATTTGGAAAAATGCAAGACATTTATGTAATTTAGTAAAGTAGGCCTATTTAATAAGGTTATGCTCAAAGCAATCATATAAACATAAATATCAAGAAAAATAGTTTATTCAGACAATGTGGTCTTCACTTTTTGTTCATTAATTTCCCCATGCACACCTATTTTATCAAAGCCTGCAAAAATGTATCTTTAAAAGTCACAATCAACAAGAAGATTAAACAAATAGCTTTGATATTTTATACCACGACGACTCAAACAAACAGAGTATTTCTGTGTATTGAAGGGGTGACGTCACTGGGACCTCAGTGAATCAGCTGCTACGCAACGAGCAGCTTCAGCGGGTGATGAACAAACATGGCGACTGGCTATGCGTGGCTCCTCGTCCTGGGCTCGGTCTTTCTTTGCAATTTAATGAAAACACTTCTTCCGTCTATATCGTCATTCGTAAGTAGAGACGCGTTGTATTTACTTACGGGTCCTGCTTTAAGTTTCATTGTTGTGTCGCCTTTGTCTGACGAACAGCTTGTTGTTTGTCACGGTAGCCAGCTAGCTTGAAACAACGTACCTTTACACAGGGGGAAATGTGTGTGTGCTGCACGGTTAATCAACACACTGTCTCTACGTAGCGTTTCCGCTTATGCGTACCAAAAACATAATCTTTAATGTTTACATTTTAGGCTGCTAGCTGATAGTGTATTTTACTGTGCATGTGTTTGACTGAGTATCTGCATCACTGACTCGACAGGAGACGTGAGGCTCTGGGTTGAACAGCATGGGTGCTGTTATGTGTCTTCTGCTTTGGGGCAGGGTATTAAATATTCATTTACAGGATCTGACAAACCATTGTCATGTCAAAACTTCCTGCAAGATAAGCTACAGAAAACAATGCACAAGGAAATCCAGAGGGAAATCGGTCCATATTTCATGTTAAGCAGTACATCTGATTACCCTTTCGTTGAATTCAGCTGATTTTAGCATTAGAATATAATATAATTACTTTATTGATCCCAAACTGGGAAATTGTGGCCATACAGCAGCAGGTTATCCAAACACACAATATGAGTAAAAAACACAATAATCTAAACACAATATAATATTAAATACAAAGTAAATAAGTACTAAAAAAATATCAAAAATAAGAATGTGAATATATACAACCAGGATTTAACTAAGCATTACTAGTCTTAAATAGGAAGATTAAATATGGAAGAGTAAATGTAAATGTGCAAGAACAGAGTCGTAAATGTTTGTAAATTAAATATGAAAGATTAAATGAAAATGTGCAAAAACAGAGTTGTAAATGGACAGTATTGACATAAGTTAAAGTGCATGTGTGTAGACTTATTATAAGCAGAAACTATACAATATAACGGCGAGTAGACAGACAAATGAAGTGAACATAAGTGCAGGGATAATTTGTAAATTTAACATGTGCAGAACAGATTACAGTATGGAGAGACAGATGTTATCATGATGACAGTTCTCTGCTCACATGAGGTGAGCTGTTGTACAGAGTTATGGACTTCGGTAAGAAAGATTTCTTGTATCTGTCACTCCTTACCGTTAGCATGTGAGTGGCAATAAGCTTAAATTACGGTTTTGTAATTCAGCACATAAAATAGAAAGTCGTACATTTATAGCCACCGCTGTGGTGGGATAGGAATGCGGATTTACTTCCTCGTTTTCATAATGTTAGATGGGGAGAAGATCAACGCTGATATCAGCTGTTGTGTTTGGTTATTTAATACTGTGTTTTAATTTGAAAGTTGTCCAAATGTGTCTCAAGATTTTCATAATGAAATGTTTTTCCGGTATTTTCTTTTTTTCAAGCTGACAAAGATGATGCAGAAAGATGCTGAGCAGGAGAGTGGGATGAGGATTGAAATCCAAGAGATGAAGAAGGAGCAGTCATCAATTAGCATGATGGATGAGTTTGCTAGATATGCCAGATTGGAGCGCAAACTCAACAAGATGACAGACAAGCTGAAAACCCATGGTAAGAGACACAAGCAGAGATTGTGACTGATGGGAAAGACAATGGCCCTCATTCACAAACAGTGCGTACGCACAAATCTGTTCTTAAACTTGTTGATAATGTGATTCTGTCAAACTACACATAGCATTGATTTAAAAGGCAAATATTCTCATTATGCCGGCATGTAGGAGACTGTTGCTTTGTCCGCCACTTCCACATCGCTATTTTTAAGTTATGTTTTGCCTTTGTGCTTTAACCCTGAACCCCACAAAATATTGGTGAAAACTCTGATCAAAGATTAACCTTGTGTTTATTATATTATGTATTTTTTGCAATTAATCTGATAAACAGGCAAAAAGTCACAGGGGTTTTACTTAAGAAGGCTTTAACACTGAATAACATCATAATTGTAACAATTCTGTGTTTCCTCACCTTTACAGTAAAATCCAGAACAGCACAGCAAGCCAAGATGAAATGGATTGTGAACATTGTCTTTTATATACTGCAGGTAAGTGTAGAGCTCGAAGCACAAAGGCATTCGATGGTAGATTTGATTGTGAGTGTTATCTATTTTAGTACCGCAAGTGTTAACCATTTCTTTGTTACTAAACATCCAGTTAATGCTATGTCTGAACTTTTTTTTTTTCACACTTTAATAAATATTGCTTTAAAATACAAATGCCATATTTTATATATTTACCAGGCTGCCCTGATGATCTCCTTGATATGGAAGTATTACACTGATCCAGTTACTGTGGTGCCAAGTAGATGGATTGCCCCTGTGGAACGCCTTGTGGCCTTTCCAACAGGAGTGGCTGGTAATTCATCTTTGTTTCATATTAAATGTAAACAACACCTGCATTAAAACTTACCTGTAACAATGTTCTTCTTATAGGATACAGTTTTAAGTGTTTTTTGTACATTTTTGAAAATGGGTTCATATTCATAATGAACCCTTACTCCTGTCATGTAGATGGATTATATTTGTTTTCATTTCATCAAAGCTTTATTACACTGAAACTGACATTAGGCTAAACAGACTTTGGACGCTTGGTGGTCTGTCCTGTATTGAAGCTTGTGAAAAAGCTTTGGCTGTTTAATTCATTGACATATATTCTTTCTTTCAGGTGGAGTGGGAATAACATGCTGGTTGGTGGTTTGCAACAAAGTAGTTACACTGGGTCTCCATGCTTTCAGTTAGAGACTGAGTAACATCTGGTGGACTTGGAAATCTTTGCTCAACATTTTGTAAAAGAGAGGAATGTTTTTTTGTCTTGTATCTATTTTTGTGAGCTGCTTAAGTTAAAAAATGTTTTTAAATGCAGTGCATTTTGGCATTGGCTGTTTCATATTGCAACTTTGTTTTGCTGGGGGGTTATGTTTGTGCTTCACATTTATTATGTGAAGGGGGGGGATCAAAATGCTTTTTAAAGAAAACATCGTCAAATTAAATGTGTTTTTTTGTTGTTGTATTCTCAATAATTCAGTAACAATAACAAGTCATGCAGATGTATTGAAGGAAACATGTTGAATAAAATCAAGTTAAGAGATTCCAATAGATTGTGTACAGCTCTTTGGTCAAAATGGCATTTATTCAGAGAAAATAACTATCCTGTGACTACTATCAAATATCCTTTGTCTACTTTCTTTCTGTGTATGCAAAGCACAAAAGTGTAAGAGCTTGTCCTTCAGTCCAGTTACTAAATATGTGACTCAAGAGAATGGCTTCTCATTATTCTGCTCTTCCTGTTGTGAACTTCCCTTTACTCTCACTTTACTAAATCGCTCCCAGATACCTCAGGTGACACAAAAAATCATATTCACAAGGATCTTCCCCTGTGCAGGTTGTCTATAGATTATTTAAAGGTGCTGTTGCATTGGATGTAAGACACGTTTCTGTCAAATTTCTGTAAAGTGTAGGTGGTTTGTAGTTTGTATTCTGCCGTAGGCTTCTCGTTTTACAAAAGAGGAACAAAAGCTCACCAGGATAATGAGGACTATCCAATATGTGAAAATGAAAAGATCTGAATGTTTTAACATATTAGCCAACTAACTCACACTTATGGAGCGTGGGAGGTGACATGGAAATATATATATATATATATATGTCAAAGCCTATATATATGTATTTCCTAACTATATGGATAACACATGGTTTTTAAAGAAATAAAAAATGGATGCATTATTAAAAGATTCACTCCCCGTACAGTGTGTGGCCGTGAGGATACACAGTAAATATATCTGACCATTATGTTTCTTTGTACTAGGCTGTAAACATTTTAATTTCTAATGTAAAACCTGGCATTTTTAAGGGTGGTGTGTATGTGACTTCCGAGGCTCCTGGAGCCAGACTCAAGCGGACCCTCGACGAACTGCAGGAATTTGCACTTACGCATTGGCTTAAATTTTCAACCCTTGAGGTTAAGGGTATATCATGTCAACATATCAACATATCATGTTGTAAAAACCCCAGCGCCTGTCCGTACTCTATTGTTAACTGTATCTTTGCCGAGCAAACTTGAAATGAAAGGAACTGTAACATTTATGTCAACCCTGCGAAATGTTGAAAATAAACTAACATTTTATACACTCTGGAGTATATGAAAATAACAAGAGTATATGAAAATAACAGTGGGGCTTGAAGGGAGATCTGCAGTTAACGTTTTGTTGTAAACTGGAAATTGACCTTGGAAGTTTTCCAGTAGGCTACCTCACCTGTACCATAAACATAAAACCATGATAACTTGATAATCTTACAGGCTAAATTATCTTGCTTTTGATGATGGTACACTAATATTTGTATCCCTAATTAAAAATGCTGACTTCAGATGGATTACAGGTATAGGGGATTATAGACCTGTTCCAACAGTTTGCGTAACTGTGCGCACAGTTTACGAAACTTTGTGTAGGCTACAGATTGCAAATCCGTGCGGTTTTGAGCCTTCTGGAGCTCAGTAGGCCGTTTTGAAACAAGACTTGCAGCCCATGGTAGCCTACTTGTCAGTACTATTTCTGTCCATATATGCACTCAGCAAGGGTCTGGAAGCTTACTTAGCTGCGTGGACAGACAGCTGAAGTTACCAATCAGTCTATGAAGTTGTGCGCCCCTGGGGCAACCCACCAATCCCGTACCAGTGGTGCCTGGACAAAAATAGCCCCGTGTGTGTGTGTGTGTGTGTGTGTGTGTGAGAGAGAGAGAGAGAGAGAGAGAGAGAGAGAGTCATCTCAGTGCTATGTCTTCGTCCCGAGTGTGAACTAATAATAGAGGAGGCCGTCTGCTCCTTTAAGAGCCCACTTGTAGCATATAGTCCTCAAAGAATAAAGTAACAAAATGGTTATCAAAGTATTCCTCGCCTCTTCATCAGGATCCACTGCGGTAAGCAATCATCCCGAGCCACTTCTCCTTGTTGTGGTCTACTGTTTTTTTGTTTGTTTGTTTTTTACCGAACAGGACTTTCTCACACTCACTTAACAGTTATATCATGTGTCTTTCATTTGCAAACCTCAAACCATATTTGCATGTTTTTAGGACTAGATCAACGCTGAGATGTAGTCTACCCTATGCTTTAGGTAGGCTAGTGTTTATTTGATCTCACAAGTCTTAGTGATAGACAGAGCTTTCTAGAAAAGGGGCTCCTAATGCTATTCATGTAGTAGGCTATATGCCGTCTTTAACATCTACACCTCCCTACTGCGGTTGCAAGAGCTTTTTCTTCCAAGGAAGCGTTTTCTTTATGTTTCTTCATCTGGTTTAATGTGTGATTTCAACGGGAGGGGTGAATCAATCCTCCTGATCAACTGTCGGCCCAGTTAAATAAGTAGTTTGGACCAGTCCATGGTGGGCCAGTTGGTCAGCAGTGGTAACTCTAAGCAGGAAGATTACTGAAGGACCTGTTTTGCATATTTAGCCTATTCCAAATGTGTCTATCTATAATACATGTAGATAGAGGCAAGTCCATGTACTCCTACTGTATTCAGAAATTAGATTATTGCAACAACTGACAGAATGTACTAGTCTAGTTTACTGAGAATCTTGAACTAGTCCTAGTATTTCAACTCTTAATCTATCTTTCTTTTCTTTTTCTTTTTTTGATTTGGTATCAGGGAATAAATAACTAGTGAAAATAACCTCCATTCTCATTATGAGTTTACCTGATTATTTTTATGTGATTAAAAATATATTTGCTTTGACCATAACTGGTCAAAAAGGAGAGCCAAACAAAAACACAAATAACTTTACAGTCCACAAACTAACAGAAAGATGGCTTCATATGTGATGAAATTGTGACAATTAATTGTTTTTACACTTCGTATGTTTATGTCATTCGACAAGACATCAGGATAAGAGGTGAGTCTCATGTACCAGTTTTGAATTTAAATGGTGCAGAAATATTACCCTTCAATGCAGATGGTGAAAAGATTCTCTGATCAGAAGGCCTTGGAAATGATTTTTGAAGAGAGAGGAGCTTTGGAAGATGATAAAGAGAAGAGTTTTCACTATGTCAACTCAAAGATTTGTGATTTTGAAGATTAAGATGAGACTGACCATCAGCTAGCTCTAAAAAAAAAAAAGAAAAAAAGCCTGTCAACAGCCAGCGTCAGGAGAAGTCAGTCACAGGACCAGGCCATCCAAGCCACAGAAGACCGTCTATAACCAATCGCAGCAAAATGGTAAATGGTATATGGACTTGAGCTTGTACTGTATAGCGCTTTTCTAGTCATCTGACTACTCAAAGCATTTTTACACCACAAATCACACCTACCCATTCACACACTGATGGCATTGGTTGCTATGTAGTGAGACCATCAGAAGTAACTCATCCCATTCATACACATTCATACACAGCAGACAAAGCAGTGGAAGCAATTCAAGGTTAAGTGTCTTGCCCAAGGACACATTGGACATGTTGCTGCAGGAGCTTGGGCTCGAACTCTGAAACTTCAGGTGGAGATACGATGACTCTGCCAACTGAGCCACAGTCGCCACAGCCACAGGACCAGGCCGTTCAACACTAGTGTCAGGACCAGCCCCGCAGCAGCCAGACACAAGACCAGGCCGTTCACAGACAGCCACAGCAGTCTGCCCACAGCAAGCCACCGAAACAGGTCGCCCATAGCGAAACACAGATCCATCCCTGCAGCTGCCAGCCACACGCACAAGCTGTCCATAGCCAGCCACAGCATGCTGTCCACATCCAGCTACAGGACCAGGCCGTCCACAGCCATCCACAAGAACAGACCACAGTAACAGATGTGGATATTATCTGTTTACTGGGACTCATACTGTGAAGACTGTGTTCAGTTTCTAAATAAGTTCATAGAAATTAACATCAACAGTGATGAAACAACTTGTTTTTGTTTTTCCCAACCATATCTTGATTGTATTGATGTTTATTATTTATTGCATTTTGTCACACAAAACAAGCACTTTTATTCACATGTTTGACAGGGGTAAAGTATTTTACATAAATTGTTATGGCTGTATTGATATATGAATCTAATAATGCAGTGGGTTCACCAGACCCTCGAACATAGGCTGAGTAACAAAAACATGAACACCCCACAACAAGGGTTAGATGAGGGGTTAGAAAAATATAAACAACATTGATTTTTGTTACATATTTGTGTACTAATGTATTTTTCTTCTTCCCAGATAAAAAAAAAGCAGCAAGATGTTGTGGGCTTTCTGGAGGCTCTCAAAGTGGACTACACTCAGCTGGACATTGCCTGCAACGAGGAGAATCGCATGTGGATGAGGCAGAATGTCCCAGAGGATAGGAAGCCTACGAACGGCATCCCCCTACCCCCTCAAATCTTTAATGAAGCGAGCTACTGTGGGGTAAATACACACACAAAAAGCTACATAAAATCATTAATCATTCTAAATGTATCTGTAAAGGAGCAGCCCTAGATAAAAGAATGGTTTATCTCATTTTGATGCAGGACTATGACACATTCTTTGATGCCAAGGAGGACAACTCAGTTTATGCCTTCCTGGGACTGCCCCCTCCTCCTGGGTCAAAGGTTAGATCTTTTAGATATAGATATAGTATATATTGACATGTATCTGTTTAATTACATTTTATTTCTATATGATGATTACAGTGTTTCCTACAGAATGACGAGATACCTTCAGTACTCTCTTACTTTAATTTAATTCATATACATGTTATTCCACTCCATCTGTTTCCTTTACCCATTTACTCCAGTTGCTCATGAATGAATCCTCCGTTTCTTAGCCTAAACGTGATTCTCTCCATTTCTTTAATTTATTCAACTTTCAACTATTTAATAGGATTTAATAGACTGAAACTTTGTTTTGACAACATAAAGAGTGATTGTAACTAGAATAATCCGAGGACATACTGACTGGCCACCCAAAAGGTTAATTTGAAGCCCTAAGTCTGTATAATACACTCATGTGCACAGGGGTGGCTGTGGTTCAGGCTGTCGTCTCTCAATTTGAATGTTGTTGTTTTCCATCCCCAGCAAGTGTCAAGACACTTGGGCAAGATACTGAACCCCAAGTTGCTCCCAATTACATCAACATTGACATGTGAACGTGTATGAATGGGATTAGTTTATACTGATGAGCACTTTCCATAGCAACATGTGGTGTGATAGGTGAATGGAACATGTACTGTTAAAGTGCTTTGAGTGGTCAGAAGACTAAAAAGTGCTTTATAAGTACTGTCCATTTAACAGGTAAATCAATCAATCAATTATTCCATTTACCAGGTATATCAATCCATGTATGCACTTGTATCATTACAGTGCCAGTTCATTACAAATGTTATCTCAAGACACTTCACAAAACGAGCAGGTATAGACCATGGTGTTTGTTATTTCATTTCATTGATACAGGAAGCAGAAAAGGCTGACAAGGCGGACATTGTGGAGAATGGGACCCACGCCGAAGAAACTAATACAGTGGGCAAACTTGATGACTTAATAGTAATGCCGTCGTTACTTTCATTTTCTCCTCATTTTTTGCTTTTTGTTGTCACTATATAACCTTTTCCTTTCCATCCAATATGATTGAACCCTTTTTCTTCTGTCCACACCTGGTGAATCTTCTCTGGGCTGCCGTCTCCCATTCATCACACTAACTCATATTTTTGTGTTTTGCATGAAGAAGACATTTAGCAAAGTATACTGAGTTCTCATCATAACAGTGGGATGTTGCATTGCTGGGTTCAGCCTGCCTCAGGGTTGTGAAGCTTCATGTTCATAAACCACATCATTTGTTATTCACATTACTAAAACTCTTGTGTCTACATTTTCACTTCTACTACATTCCTTCTCCAAGTTATTGCCAGGATTGAGAATCACCTTGCTACTAATTTTTCACAACTCTATGAATGCTGAACCGACTGTTCTAGTGCTGTTGAAGCAGTACCTTTAATACATATGAATAGGTTTCCTGAATTACATCATCTGTTTGCTCTGACCAAAAGTTGTTGTTTCACCTCACAAAAAGGAGGTTCCTGTGGAGGAGCGTAATGGAAATACACACAGAGAGGAGGAGAAGCTGCAACAGGCAGCTGATGAGGAGGAGGAAGCTCAGGATGGCGAGGAGGAGGAAATAACAGAAGGAGAGACTGCAGATAAAGAAACAGCAGGAGACGAAACCCCTATGGAGGAAGAGGAGGCAGTGGAAGAAGCAGACGAGGTCACAGAAGATATAGTAATTGCCTCCTAACTAGAACCAAAGTCCCATGGTTTTTCCTCTCTATTCTCTTCTTTGGATGTTTGTGAATTTAATGTTTTCCTCCTTCACCTTCCCATCATTCCTGGAATGTCCTGTTTTTCTCCCCTCAGCATCTAAACTTGCCCTTTAATGTTTTCCTTCTCTCCCATATTAAGGGCTCTGCCTCCTTTTTAAGTTCCCGTTGCCCTCATACTGCATCTTCTATTAACAAAAACGTTACATTCCTGTTAACTCTTCCTGTTGCCATTTATTCAACACATTTTAGACATATAACCCCTAACTTTTGTATTTCTGCAACATTTCTGATGGGTTTCAGGGACTGAGTCAGGGGATAGCCAATCTAGGGTTGCCCTGGCCAACCCCTGGCTCAAAATCCTTAACTTTGGCTGTTTGCCCTGTAAGAGGCAGGCATTATGTTAAAATTAATTATAAGGGCTTTGTTGAATCAGGCTGGCTCGCTTTACATTTAAATTTGCAGCATTTCTTTTTATTCGTACTTTAAATGGGTACTTTGGACATACTGTAAATATTTGTTTTGAGTCTTCAAAGAATTTTGTTGCTCATCTATTGTGTTACTTAATTTTCTAGATTTCTTTTTATGCCTTTATTAGAGAGACAGGTTGATGAATAGCATCAAAAATTAGGGAGATTTTCTCCCGCCTCGAAGAACAGCTAGGCCACTGGTGCCTAATATGTGATTAGTGGATTATAAGGGACAAATAAAAGTTATTTATTGTGTTTGTTTGTGTGTGTGTGTGTGTGTGTGTGTGCGCGTGCGCGTGTGTGTGCGCGTGCGCGTGTGTGTGCGCGTGCGCGTATGCGTGTGTGTGTGTTTGCACACTTCACACTTCAGGCCATCCCTACACAAGTTGGGGCCTCATTTAGGCCTTTGGTTTCTTGTCTGTTTTTCTTACCTCCTCATGCCTTTGCAGACCCCATGAAATTGCTACCACTGTTCTTGATGATCCTCCCCACATTTCACTGCATAGCCATTAACTTTCCTAATCAAGGTGTGTCATGCACACCACACTTTGTCTTGTTCAATAAGCCTGGTCTGTGGATGCCGATGTGTTTCAGTTAAAAAAATATAAAGTATGTAGTACGTGTGGGAATTTTTCCAAATACACAGTCTGACAAGTCTAACAATATTTATTTCTTCTGTTAGCAGGCTCATGCAGAGGAGGAAGAAGGACAGGTACGTTTCTCAAAAAAACATACTCATTACACACACTACACTTAAAGGCCACGTGTTTCAATTAATATGAAAAATATTCATATGTTAACATGTCAGGTAAAATATTGCAGTACGTGTCAGCTGAACTGAAATTAAGACAGGCTGGCATTTCATAGAATCAAAAATGTTTCATTTCCATTGGTCCTTGCAAATATCAGACAAATTGCATAAAATGAAATGCATGTGAAATACATTAAGTTGAAGTTCATTGGCCCTTTCTATTTTTCTGGTCATTCTGGTTAAGAATATGTGTGCTGACCAATAAGTGTGGCCAAATTAATTTGAAAGCTGGATTGGTGTTAATGCTATAAAATGGCATATATTGTAAAAAAGGGACTTTGGCTTATTTGTTCTTGTTCACTGTTGGTTTTAAGAGCCTTTAAATAATGTGGATTTTTTTTAAAGTGTCTGCTATTTTCTGATAAGTATAGTGAGTCAGTCACGACTATTACAATTTTTGCATCCTGAACCTTGCATACGCATGTAAATGCTTGAAACCCTTGTCCTCCTATTTTGTACCTTATCAAAACTAGCATCTTCTGTTCATCCCCTGTTAGCCACTCTTTGGGTGAGAATGAATGTTGTGATTGTCAGATATTTATCAGCCTCACATGGCTGAGAGGTAAATATTAGGAAATATTAGCAATGTATTTGCTATGATGCATCATATGCTAAAATGTATTTCAAAATAGTTAGTTGATGTTACACTCAATTACTATCTCCACCTTCAACTTCAGGTAGATGTATTTAACAATTGGTATGTTTCTTTATCCTGTGTTGCAGTCATTTAAATCATCTGACTCACTTCACATTACTTAGGTCATTGGTTTATCTTTGGGGTTGTGCCAAATATTTTTTTGGGAGGGGGGGATCTGGGGGAGCTCAAATTAGATTTGCGCATTTCAACTTAAATCATGATACACACTTACTGGATAGTTTATGCAAAGGTATATTGGTAACAATAAGTGTGTATGCCTTTTCTGTCAAAACTAAAACATTGATGTTACCTTTTATCAATAATGTTTTACTTATTTTCCATGTGGGTCCTCAGCTTTTCTAAGATAAAAGTGTTAAGAGTTTGGGGTCTGGTGGGGGGGCCTTAAAGAAAAACTGGTTAGAAACCGCTGACTAAGATGAATCAGTTTCAGAGATCCTTCTGCTGGTGAATATTCTCATTTTGGTCCTCGTGCACTTAATGGCATTTGATCCCTTCTTTGCCCATCTTTTGTCCATCTCTCGGTTTGCTCCCTCCAGGAGGAAGAGGATTTGCAGTCAGAGGTAACTGTGCGTCGCTGATCGTCTCTTTCTATGGTTCTTCAAATAGCCATCAGAAATATGTGGGTTTGATGGTGTAGAGATCAGCGTTATCAACTGTGTTTATATTGGGTTGGGATGGGTGAAGGTCTGCCTTTCCCACTCATCTTTATACTCTTTTATTTGCTCCCTTCAAAAATGTACCCCTCTCTCTCCCTCTTTGTCTCCTGTCTCCATCACGTTTTTTCCTTTATTAACCATTTTTCGTCTGTGTGCTAACATCCTATTCCTCATTTCTTCCTAGTTCAGTAGCTGCTTCCTGACAACCTCAAGTATCCATATAGTTTCATTTTTTTAAATCTGCAAAGTTCTCACCTTGTGCATGCCTAAGGCACTATTTTTCTCCGCTCACAGCCTGCTCACCTGCTATTTGTTATTCCCTCTAGGAGGAAGAAGAGCTACTACAGCTTGAGGTAGATTCAAATGATTTTTTTTTTACTTGCCCCAACCATCCTAATTTCATCTTGTGTTTTTTAAACAAGTGTTCTAAGTTATTTTTTCCCACTTGAAAATGTATAAATCATTCCCTAAGTTTTCCCTCTCACTTAGTAGACTTTGAAGACTGGTGTCTCTGTGAACACAGTAATGAGTGAGAATAAAGTGCAAGATTTAGGAAAGCAATGTTGATCTTACAAAAATGTTTTGCTTTTAAGAGTGTGCATTATTTCTATTGGCTCACATATACATTGATAATAAGTGTTTGGTCTCCAGTCACACAATGTAATTGTCCAGGGGACAAGGGGAAACATGTCTACTTCACTTCATTTTTTTCCACTAATTTCTCATTTAATTTAGATTTACACACAAAATCTCTCTCAACAATGTTTTCATACCCCTGTCAGAACATACTCTTGTTTTACTGGGCAGTGCTTTTTCACATTGGGGTTACCTGTCAAAATACATATAATAGACCTGTGACTTTATTATGCAAGACACCCTCTGAATCCAATCCTACACACTTGCTCTCACAACTTTCTCATCTCCTGAAGCTTTGTGGACAGGGCTGCAGATGAATTCAACAAGACCCAGTTTGTGATCAATTAAGCATCTTTTCTCACAACAATTTTAATCAGCGTTACCTCAACAACACGTTCAGACCCAACATGATCTCAAATCAATATTTTCCTGCTTAAGAAAGCAACACACTGAAGCTTAAAGAAAAAAATCCTACTGAAAAATGTTACTGTGCTAAATGCTTTGTGATAAGGACTCTGTAGCTTTGAGAAATCACAACAGTTGTTTGGTAGATAAAAACAAGTATTCTTCACTGCTACGCTTTGCTTTGCCTTTTTCCTCTTTACCTTTCCATCTATTTTGTGGTTTGCCCACCTCTCTTGCAGGAGCAAGACAAACAGGGCAGTGAGGTAGTCCCTGTGGTTTGTTTGTGGTTTCTTGTATTTCAAACTATGCTTTCACTGTCCTTTCTCTTTCCCTTTTCTCCCTCTGTATGCTGCATTGATTCTTTCCATGAGTCCCGATAGCATGATAAATATGACAATATTTTACTTGTACTTTGGTATATATAGTGTTGTAATAACGACTTGGTCCATACATCAGTATTCTTTCACTTACTCTTCTGATTTCATCATCCATAGGAAGAAGAAGAGGCTGAAGTTCAAGAGGTAGATTTAAATTGTAGAGTCTTGATACATTTTTAGCATGGTGTGAATCATTCTGCTATTTTTATGCATGATCTGGTTGCATTCAAAGACTGTATGTATATGAATATGAAAGCAGGTTTGCTGTTTCTTCCCAAAGGCAGTTGTGTCATGCGATCCAATGCACAAGTTTGAAAATGTTTCCTCCTGTCTGACTTTTACTGATAATAATTACTTTACAGATGGCAGCATAATATTTGTTTCTTGTTTGCTGTGTTAAGTGAATAATAACCATTCAGATAGTTCCTGTGAGTCTGTCAGGACATTTTTACTTGTTTGTTTTGATGCCTCAAGAAGGGTTGGGAGTCTTTTTGTTGTTCAACTCCAACTTCCCTTGATCCAAAGGAACGTAGCTTGAACATGTTTTCACTATGCTATGTTTGCATGGAGAGGTGATTCTGGGGTGTCTTTTTCTTTCTTTTTTTAAGAAGTCATGCATTTTGTCAAGTGAGCAGTCACAAAACTTTACCAAGAAGGAACAGTCATAAGTCTCTGCAGATGCATAGTGCTAACACAAATCTTATAATGACATGTAGTTTTACTTTTAAAACATCTTTTTTTTAAAGACTTATTTTTTGGGCTTTTATTTGACAGATAGGACAGTGGATAGAGTCAGAAATGGGGGAGAGAGGAGTGGGGAACGACATGCAGGAAAGGAGACACAGGTTGGATTTGAACCTGGGCTGCTTGGAAGACTACAGCCTCCATACGTGGGGCGCTCGCACTAACCACTGCGCCACAAGTGCCCTCTTTTAAAACATCTTAAATGAGTGAAAACTTGTATTTCACTCTGTCTCACAAGGTCAAATCAGAAAATTCAGAATACCAGGAAGTGCCCCTTGGTTTCCTTGTCCCTGCCATCATTGCCAACGACTGCACTTCTCTCGAATAACCACTTTCCATTTTTAACTTGCCCTTTCACTCCAAACACTAATATCTTCACCTAACATGTGAAGTCTTCATCTTATCTACCTGTTATTTGGACCATGGCTTCACATGACCCCTTGCTATCTTTTTTTCCCCAACACCTTAAAGGATGAAGAAGAAGACTTGGAAGAAACACAGGTAGCAATAAAAAAAAAACTATTTGTGATATCTGATCTGCTGCTTGTGCCCGACACGCCAGCAGAAAATCGTGTCCCACTTTTGTTATTAAGAAGATAGATCTATAAGGATGTCTTGATATTTTAGACCTATCAATCACTAACTGTGTTGGAATAATGAGTCTTAATTCAGGGAAATAATAGACAAGGCAATTCTTTTTTAAACTCTTTATTTTTTATACCCCATCTGTAAGAGGGAACATCCTTGCTTTTAATCAACAGAACAAACTAAGCAGATCCAAACTAAGCAGATTAAACACTTTCAAAGCTCCTAACCCTAGAACTATCCGGGTTCCCTAAATGAAGGGGCCCAGACAGCAAGATGTATGGACTGCAACAAATTTTACTGAACTAGCCTATTTTTTATGATGACATAACATTGCCTACATAGAGCAACCCAGTCATTTAACACATATTTCATTATATTTCTTTTACCCCTGTCCTTTGTCATATGTTACTTACACATGATAGTCTCTTTTAACAGGAGGAAGAGGCTGAGTAGTTAAAGGCAGGTGTCGTCCCTGATGTTGACTTACTTCTGTCAAGGTAAATCACTATATTTTTTTCTACTGCTAAGATTCTGTGCTTTTGCCCTGCCACTAGAGGGCGGTAAATCATTAACAAAACATGAGTAGGCTTCCTAGGTGTTGCATTATATTTAATGTATTTTACCAGATAAATTAAAAAGAAAACGTATTTCAGAGAACAGTTTTTTGTGTGTGTCTCTTTTACCCTGCTATGAATTTACGACTAAAGAATGAATGAATTACCCAAACTCCCTTCTGAATCTACATTGTAAACTGTAATTTGAAAAAGTTAAAATTGTTCACTTCTTTATGTATAAGATACATCTCTCAGACACCAAGTCTTATACCCTCTCGGCTTTAGCCCTGTTTGTACGGACCTATAATTTGTTTTAAGTTGACTTGAACTCTGAGGTTTTCACTTAGTGGCTACAAAATAAAACATTAGCTTATCCATAAAGGAACTCCTCTGCTACATGTACCTCTGTTAGCAAAAAGCTATGGTGAGCATGTAGAATGCCATGGGAATAATTCAGAGCCATAACAAAACTGTCCCACAATTTCTTTATTTTCTGAGTCAGTAGCATTAATGGTGACTGTGATGATGATAATAGCGGTTCTAATCCTCAAAGCCAAAATTTGAGTCCTTCTCTGAATGTTAGGCAGCTATGACCCAATAAGAAAAGCCACAGTGAAGGCTTGATGGGTGGCAATGCTCTTCTCCCTTAGCTGTTTCCCAAACCCTGCAAGCCCCTGTCAAGCCTTATTAAAGGAAGCTGCAAAGTGAGCTTCAAATGTGCCTCTGGAGGAGTGGGCAAGCTGGGTGGCACCATCACATAGCATGTGATTGGTGGCTGCCTAGACCACCACAGACAATGGGAAATGTGTGACTATTTTCATTTGTTTCATATGTTGGCCTTGTGTTTCAGGTGGAAGAAGCCTCCTGTTTGTCTCTCCTTGACCCCTGAAGCTTGACCTCCCTCTGTCCTGTCAAACAGCCCCTCTACCCTCCCCTTGGCCACACTGGACTTCACTGGAAACTGCTGAAAAGACTGAAAATTCCTAACCCACATCTGCCCCTATCCCTTGTGACTGCTATATTGACTTAATTTTTATATTTTGCCTGTAGAGACTTGCTTTAATAAAAATGTGCAGTTATTTTGTTAAAATCAAAACATATTTCTCATGTTTTAAGTAGAAGATATTTTAGTATTCTTACACAAGAGACAGTGACCTTTTAGGAAAATATTACCTTTAAATACCTCAGCGTGTCAGTATTTCAGAGGTTCATATCTCAAAGTTTTATATCCCACTCTGTGGTTTTATTACAATAGTCTTTCGCTAATGTTGTTCCTTTAATGCTATCAACTTAATGTAAAAATGGAATTAAGACTTCTAAAGGCCACGTGAGAAAAAAAGTATGCAAATATTGAAAGGCTGCAAAATGGTCCACCTCTGTTCTGACTACTCCTGCTTATCAATGCATTTTGTTGAATGAGTAGAGCTACTAAGTGTTAGATGGACTCACACGTGCAATAAAGTAGACAGGTTAAAAAGAACTCAGCTGTTGTAGTTTGATTAATGTAAAACAGCAATAGGTTGGTGCATCAATAGACAGAAAGTCCACTGTTCAGTCACAGCAGCCTTGATCCCGTGAAAAGTGGAGCAGCATGTAAGATCTAATCATTTGATATATATTTTAAAATATACAAAAGCGGTCGACATTGACAAAGGACCAATGCTATACATTTACAATTCAAAGAATTAAACCTTCAAATCATGTTCAAATGGATAGTTAGGTCATGGAAAATATATAATCTGAACTGATGCTTTTTGATATTGTTGTTCTCCTTTCCTTAACTGAAAATGTGCAATATGTTGTGTTACACAATAAAGTTCTGAAGAGTGTCCAGCCATGCTAGCAGCATTTTGGCATGGCCATTTAAAGCACATTAGTCTCCGAGCAAAATTCAGCTGTAAAGAACACAACAAAACTAAAATGTAGATGCCTACTGGTCCACAGCTTAGGGGCTATAACTGAGAAGGCCCGGTCTCCCCTATGCTTCAGCCTAGCATTAGGGTGCAACCAGACCAGCACACATCAATGACTGTGATGGGCCGCATGGCTGTAAAAGGTCAGAGAGGTAGGCTGGGGCCAGCCCGGTCAATGCTTTGTAAGCAAACAGCATGATCTTAAAATGGCTCCTAAAATTGACAGTGAGCCAATGAAGGGAGGCGAGAACAGGAGTGATGTGCTCTCGCTTGCGTGTCCCTGTGAGGAGCTGAGCAGCAGCCTTTTGAACAAGTTGCAGATGAGACAAGGAGGCCTGGTTAACACCAACTTAAAGAGCATCACAATAGTCGAGGCGAGTTGAAATACAAGCATGTATAAAACTCTCGAAGTCATTAAAAGAAAGACAAGGCTTGATCTTAGACAGTTGCTTCAGCTGGAAGAAGCTAGATTTTACAACAGAATGAATCTGTTTGTCCATTTTAAAATAACTGTCCATTTTCACACCCAGGTTGGTTATTGTGGGTTTGAAAAGAGGATCAAGGGGGCCAAGGTCTGGTGTGGCATGACTGGCACCACTGGGTCGAAATATTATGACATCTGTTTTACTGTCATTAAAATTTATAAAGTTTAAAGCCATCCAGGCTTTGATGTCCTTAAGACACTCTGACAGTGGTTCTAGAGAGTTTGTGCTGCTTTGCATAAAAGTGCAACGAGATGCCATATTTTTTAATAATAGCACATAGGGGGAGCAGATAAAGGGAAAAAAGAATAGGCCCTAGAATGGAACCTTGGGGGACTCCGTATGGGAGAGGTGCATGGGAGGGAAAGGAACCACCAAGGCTGACAGAAAAGGTTCTATCAGACAGGTAGGACCTAAACCACACAAGAGCAGTACCATTGATGCCCACACAATGCTCCAGGCGGGGGATAAGAGCATCATGGTCTATTGTGTCAAAAGTAGCTGTAAGGTCTAAAAGCATAAGGATGGCAGAATCTCCCAAGTCAGTTGTTAAAAAAAGATCATTTGAAAGTGTAGATTCTGTGTTGTGTAGGGCTTTAAAACCAGACTGTAAGACCTCAAGAATACCATGTACATCTAAGTAGGGTTGTAGTTGTGCAGCTTCCTCCAAGATTTCTGAAATAAAAGGGAGTTTTGAGATAGGTCTAAAATTAGAGAAAACAGAGGTATCTAGATTAGGCTTCTTGATCAACGGCTGCACCACTACCTGCTTCAAAAGAAGATGGTACAACACCCAAAGCAAGACTGCTGTTGATTATCATTAGAATAATTGGTCCAATGGTGCCCCATATTTCTTTAAAAAGGTGAGGGGGGACAACATCAGTAGGGGAACCTGAGGGTTTCATATGATCAATCTTTTGCTTCAAGCAAGAAAGTGACACAGGTTCAAACTGAGTAAAAACAGCAGAGCAGGTGACAATAATCGATGGGTCCAATGAAGGGGGTGAGATGTGTGCTCTTATAGTAGCAGTCTACAAAAAAGTGAAAGAATGATTCACAGGTTTCAGGGGAAGCTTCAAGACAGGAGGATTGGGGGGGTATTAAGAATACTGTTAATAGTACTAAAAAGAACAAGAGGTTTATGACAGTTATTCACAATAATGAGGTACTTGTTAAGAGAGTGCTAGCACAGAGGCTAGGCCAAACACAGCTGCAGATGGGGCCATTTCTAACACATAATACAGCTGATTTGAAGAAAATAAACACCTAAAAAATCAAAATGACCTGGCTGATAAATACATCTGAGGTGCTACGAAATAGTGCTTAAATAAATTAGCTTGCTGACGGTCAAGTATAGAGCTGCAAAATTTCTCAATATAGTGTACACTTAGCCTACATGGTAATTGATCTTTTTTGATGCTTTTTCTTAAAATTATCAAAATTAGGTGGTACAAATGGCCAGGTCTGCAGCTGAATGTAGCCCAGTCTCTGTGCTGGCACTCCAAGCAGTGTCTCAATAAAGAACTGAGCTGACTGGCATCTTGTGTGGCTAATACAAGTATTATTGACAAGTACCTCATACAGCTCCACTTCAAAAAAGACCAAACTATCCCTTTGATATACATTTTATGGCACTTCAACCAAAAGTTTTTACAACGGACAGACAGCTTGGTATCAAAGCATGCCATCCTTGTGTGAAACATGCTGTACCATGTTTACCAGACTTCTTCCACTGTGTCAATTTTATGGCCCCTGGGAACTGGAGCATGAGGCATTTTTGTGGTCTGAGTCACTCTGCCGCCTGTATTTACATTTGCACAGGTCAAAGTTTAAACTTGGTAATGTTTAACAGGACAGTTTTGGTTGACATAGCTTAGAAACGAGCATGAAGTGGAAGGAGCATCTTTGACCCACGTTGTGTTCCACTGATCCACAGGGACACACAATTGAGGTAAGTCAGACCAAAAAAAATGTTTGATAATATTTTGATTCTTCAATGTATGCTAATTTTGACTTCTGCTTTATACTGCCTCTTGCTGTGTGCGGTTGACAGACAGGTGCAATGTTGCACATAATATCTCTGTGAATTTACAAGGTAATGGTGTATTATAAACAAGTAATCATTTTATGAACTAAATAATATATAACAAACTATTACAATTTAACTTAATTTAATTTGTGTCATTGCATGAGTCAACTCATAAGTGTCAGCAAGGAACTCAAATCTGCCTTAACGTGAATGACATGCAGGATATGATTGCACAAGGATGGACAAAGCTATGATTAGATAGAATAGAAATTAACTTAACTCTACTGAAATGAGCTCTGTTAGTTTTTCTGACAGCTTGATTTCAAAATCTAATTAAATAAGCTATTTCTTCTGACATGTTTTCTTATCTGTTAATTCAACAAGCTTAACTGTCTTTTTTTAGAAGAGGTCAGGCATTCATATATATATTTTTTTTAAATATTTATATTAATGCCCTTATTTTTCATATTAGAATGAGGTCATGCTAGCAGCTCTGTGAAGCCATCTAAGGCTCCATCATGTTAACATTCTTATAGTAACAATACTTAAATGTTGATGGTAAGCATATACAGTATGTTTACCATTTTCACCTAATAAGGATAGCTAGCATGTAAGTTTGCTAATATTTGTTGTTAAGAACTAAACAGAAACCACAACTGTCAGTCAAGTCAAAGTCAGTTTGGAAAGTCATCAGTTTTGTTCTACATCAAGAGAATGTGAACATTTTAATCCAACCTGAGATGAAGATTAAGATGAAATGCCAAACGGTTACCAAACTGAAGACAAATCATTCTGAGGAGGCTGTGGCTGTTGGCGGATCTACCTAATAGTCTTTGTAATATTTCAGTCAGACCTACAGTCCAAAGTAGCCCTCTTTTGGGCCATGTTTCTACTATGGCTAAAACCTTAATCCATGTAAAAAATAATTATTTTTATTTTGTTTTAGGTCCATTCATTATTGAACAGTGGATTGAACATGGACTTCTTTTCTCTGTTGGTGTATCTACTTTTCTATTGTATTCATGGTGAGAGTTTAGATCAATATTAATATTGCCTTATGTGATGGGATATCTTTCATAGAGCCTGTAATGTTTTTTTTAAACATTTTTTGTTGTGTGGTCACATTCAGAGTCTAAAAAATGTGCTCAATGTCAGCAACCTTCAGATTATAGACAATCTAATTAAAGGGGCCTGTCTGCCTATCTAGGTAACTATAAGATGTTGTCAGTGGTCTCTGTCTATATCCGAGTGCAATAAAAAAGAAATAGCAGTATAGACTGGCCTAGATGTTATTGAGACCTAATCTCTTATGGATGCATTATTTATGACTGCATGCTGGTTGGAGAAGTTAGTAAAGTTAATTAATCACAAATAAGACACACACCACCAAGAGTACTGTGGTGAACCTTTTATTTCATGTTTCTTAATACCTTTTCTCTTTTTTTTTAAATTTGATAGGATACCACAAAGACATGCATTACCTGAAGTAGGAATGTATGCATTGAAATGCATAATTAGTTATGTGTTTATGTGTATCTGTGTTTATGTATGTGTCTGAATTATGTTTAGAGAGTATCTGAAGTATGGGTCCCTACAGTTTCTAGGGTTATGAATGATTCTTCACAAGGCTTTTCTTTACATTTGTCCCTTAAAATGTAATCCTTGCAGCTTTATCAATCAATTTATACAGTCATTCATGAAAAAAGCAGTACCTTTTGTTTTGATTTGATTTCAGATATGTCCCTAGATATCTCAGACTTAATGAATGTTTGAATTACTGTTATGTGTTTAATGTCCGTCTCCCTTTGGACATTTGACAGTTGGGGCACAGTTGAAGCTGTTTCCTGAAAAACTAACTATCCTTCGAGGAGAGGAGGCCCGGCTTACATGCAGCACCTCCAACACCAGATGGACTGTTATGATTTGGCTTCTAAATGGTGCAGCTGTTCTCACCATTTCCAAGAAGAATGGTGTTCTGCCCTCCATCAACTCTAATGTGACAGCAGAGAAAAGCCTTGTCTCTACGGGAGACAGCTGGGTGTTAATCCTGAAACACACAGAGAGGTACAATCAGGGACAAGTGACTTGTGACCTTCAGGACATTGATAGGAAAACAGCAAGCTTGTTTGTACAAGGTGCGTATGTTTATATGTGAGAATGATTTTGAGTGTCAGTTAGATTTGGAGTGGATACTATGTGCTTGTGTGTGTGCTATCTTCATTCACTAATCTATGGGGACGGTTATGGCTCAGTGGTAGAGTCAGTCATCTCTGAACCGGAAGGTTCGATCCCCAGCTCCTGCATCAAAATGTCGATATGACGATGGGCAAGAAACTCAACACACACACACAAGAAATACTTTTTAATTTAATTATATATAATTGTCACTGTGAATAAAGAAAAATTGATTAGAGATGGTTGAGAAAAGGACCAAATGGAGACATACAATTTCCCCTTTTAGCTAAAGAGAAAGTAACATTTCATGTATAACTGTAAAAATATATTTTAAGAAATGTGCTACTAATGCAGCAAAGTTATTAAAAAACTGTAAAAATGGTCATCTCAAAGTCAAATTTAATTTAGGATAAGATCTTATGTGTCAGATCGTATGTCTGATCTAATGTCTCATCTATATCTCCTGTACAAAAATGAGCACTAGTTAAGGCCAAAAAGAAGATATTGTGCATTTTCTCATTAGTCTCAAAGACAATCCTGAGCCCTGTGTGAGCACTGAGTGAGATCTCTTATACGTCTTACAGTTGTCCCATTCCAAGATCTTAGCTAAAAAAGAAATGCGACTACAGTGAGTTTTCAAATGTGTCTTAAAATGAAGGTTCAGTTTCAAAGTCCAAGTTCTTTGAGTCTCATTTTTCTTTTAAAGAAAAATGAGACTAGTGCCAGATTTAGAATGAGTCACAATATAATTTAAACAACAGGAAACACCTATGTTATGTTTTACATTTGTCCTGTCATATACTGTAAATCGTATCCAATCTTTGCCATAATAATACTGAGAAGATTAACACATAGATTACATTTTTTATTTACATGGAGTCTGTGAAGCTCACAGAACTTTAGATTATTTCACACACAATTCACATTCTTAAAAAACATCCCTATAGAAGATTACGATTGGTCAGTTTCACCACTTAAACAACAGAAAGGCATTGGTTTGTTTTCCCCAAATTTAATTAGTTTGATTTACTTTTTAAGCAGAAATGATAAAAAAGATATGATTTCAGCCCCATATCAGTGTAGAGGTTAAAATAGGTTTGGAGCCTGCAGTAGTGGTTAACAACACTGACCCACAATCAGAATTTATTAGATGTTCAGAGTATGAGTAAGAGTGATAACTAAGATAAAAATGAGACAATAAACAAAGATAAGAGAAGAAAATGTGATTCCTATTTTCATGTCATAAGACAAGAAGGAATGATTAATATTGAGCTATGAAGTGTACCTCAACATAGATGACAATTTTAGATTGGGCCTATGCTTTTGTTGACCTTATCATTCAGCTTTGTGTCTACAGCTTGTATAAACTAGACTAAGAGCTTGATTGAAATATGTAACAAAACATGTGCAAAAATAACCACTGCAAAAAGAAAAAGACCCATCCCTTCCAATATGTTATGAAAAGAGCCTCCATTATTGCTAATGCCATAAATACCCACTGACATATGCAGCCATTATCAGTAGTGTATGGGGAATCAAGCCTCCCGATCTGGATGCACAGCAACACCAAAGCCTGACACAGCCTCCAAATGAAATGTGCATCCTGTCAAGCCCAGTTAACCGTCAGCAACTCTGACTGTGATTTGTGTACTGCAGCTCCAAATGTGTTGCTGGAACGGAGCCACAAATCCACAGCTAGCTTGTTAACTCTATGCTATCACACATGCCCTGTGCTTTAATCGTCCAATATGACGGCAATGAAAATATGACCACACAATTCTGCTCGCTATTATTCTATTCTGCTTATTTCTGTATTGTTTTGATACACAAATACAGCAAATTCTCAACAAAACAAACATTTAACATTAGATAAATGGTTGTAATGCACTCTTGAGCAGGAAAGGGCCCAGCATTAAAGGTTTGAGCTGCTAAAAAGGAGGTAAAAATCAATCCTAGAAAACATGCCTGTGATGTCTGGCCTGTAGAGATAATGTTCACTTTTTACTAGAATACATTTACACTCACAAATAAAGTTTATGTCTTATACATTGTTCATGCAAGAGCAATCCCGCCAATCCAGAATGTAAATAAAAACAGAAACTACAGCCATACAGCCATACAGAGGGCCAGGCTGCATGATCATCAGGAGCCGATACCAATCACACATGTTCACACATGTATGTGACTGTGCAAACACCTTAAGGAGCAATTTGGGGTGTCTTTCCTAAGGACACTTTGACACATAGACAGCGTGGATTGAAACTCTGATCTTCCATTTTTTGGGATTGACATCCTCTGCTTCTGAGCACAGCTACCCTGAATTAAATGAAGTCTTACAAGATCTGCCAAATCAGCCCATATCCTTTTTTTCCCTACAGTGTCTAATAACCTATTAAACCAAATTTCAGAGATAACTGAGATTGGAGCTTTTGAAGGTAGTGCTTTTTGCCCTCCCCTCTTAAGATATATTAATCTTCCATGATCGCCTTGAGCCCCTCATTAGTTAGTGCAAGTGAGGCAACTGGTTTCTCCCTAACTATTATATACTCCCGCAGCAGCTGGAAACCACTTTCAGAGGCAGTTGCTTTTATGATTTATGATTTAATGTTAATAACACCACATCAGGCATCAAATAAAAGTCCCACTCAAAAAGTGAGAACCTAAGCTGTGGATAAAATGAGGATTGGAGCCTTGTTAAACATGTCATTTTTCAGACATGAACCAAAGGTTCTGTAATAATCTTCCTGTCTACAGCAATTGTCTGTTTTATTGGCCACTTTTCATTCTCCCAGGCATAGACTTCACATATAAACTTAACCTCCCAACCAAGTCGTTGATATGGCTGAATGGAAGGAGATGAGGGGGTTAAGAGAAGCATGAAGTTGTTTGGCAATTAAGGCTTATAGACATAAAGAATCAAAACTGTCTTTTGAAGAGGCCAACTAAAGACTTAATGCTAACAGTCGTGTTCTGCTTTTTGAATACAATTAAAAAAGGGGTCGGTTAATGAAAGTCATGGATTCCTACCCTGATTCATTTATATTTACAAACGTACAAACCCTTGATGATTACAGGATTCTACAGAAGTTTCAGCATGCAGATAATATTGAAAAAAAAAGTTTGTTAATGGACTTTCATCTGATTGCAGAAAAGGGCAGTGTGAAAGTCTCTGGGGATAAGTTGGCTTTTATGGGACAGTTGGCCTTGTTTGAATGCCATGCTGAAGGATGGTACCCTCAACCTACTTTACAATGGTGGGTGAATGACAAAAAGGTAAGTCCATACATCACCAGTTGCATCTAAAGCAAGTTTAATCATAGCAAAGCAATTCATATTAGAAAAGAGGTATCCACAATAACCTTTTGTGAGATAAAATATTTTTATAATGCTTTAAAGGTCCCATATAATGATATATTAAGCTGTTTACAACATGTCCAGGTTGTTAGGGCGTTTTCACACCTAACCTTTTTTTACTCAGTTAAAATGAACTCTAGTCCATTTGTCAATTTCACTGTGGTTTGTTTGACGTTTACAACTTTTAGTTAACAATGTTTACAACTTTCGACAACACACAAGAAATCGACTTGCCATTCAGTAAACGGCTCAGGGAAAATCATTAATGCAAAAAAGCTGTTTCAGCAGTTATCAAGTGTGTGATGCATAAAATAAAACTGGAAGCCCTGGCATGGCTGTGGTTTGACGAGCTTGACAGAATACTGGGGACAAAATCCGATCTTGAGCCAGTGGATGTTGTGGAGAGACTGATGCCAACTAACCTAACACGCCTGACCTGGCTTCTGACACGGAGGGAGATGGTAAGTTTATTCAACTTTTTGCAGTTACATTTCTCTCTCTCTCTCTCTCTTTTCTCCCTCTCTCTCTTTTCTCTCTCTCTCACACACAATTTACACAGCATTGTGCTTTGAGATGTTTTTTTCTGCAATTATCTGAGTTACACAGAGATTGTATATTTCAAATCAACAGGAGATTTAAGCAGTGCATGCATAATACTGAGGACAGAAACAACTTTGCTGTTGCAGACTGATTAATCCTCGGGCCACTGAGACCAGTAGCAGTGAAGCGTGCACCCGAGACGGGAGTCTGCCCATTCCTGGAGCACAAGCCTGAAAAAGAAAAGTGAAATCCTGCTGACTTGATGATGAATTCCATGCATATATAACTGCCAGTAAACATGCTGGAGAAAATACATAGAGTCAAAAAGATACAGTTAGCACAAGGCGCTGCAGCATTTGAAAAGATACTTCAAGCAGGAGGCTGAGGAGAGAAGATTTCAGTCTATGAAAGCACAGCAACAGGCCACCAACCAGGTGGTTCTGCAAATAATGGACACTCCTGGCCAAGCTCATTCCTCACCATTTACCACGCTGGAACACAACACCCCCATCGGACCCACCCTTAATTCCTGGTCCTTGCCACAGCTGCATCAGCCAACACATAAAATGATGTCCTGCAACCTTTCATCCCTCCTTATCATCATTCTCAATCTCCACCCTCTCAAAATAAACACCACAGCACATCATCCATTCTACATGTTAACAGTAGCCATGATTACCACAAGTTGGAGGTTGTTACACACTAGAACTTTAATTAAGGAAATGCTCTGTTAGTTTACCTTTTAATGTGCACATTTACCTTATTTGAACGCCTGCTTAGAATTGTGTTTTTTGTTCAGTGTTATCAAGATTGTTTTGACATGTTTTTCCAGAAAAGTTGTTATTTCAGACAAACAGGACATGACACAAGAAAGATCAGTGGTGCCAGGTTTTAACAGGCATCAGCATAACATGAAAGTCTAGGCCATTCCTACACAGAGTCGTAAACTGATTTTAACAAGGGAAGGGAGATTTTCACATGATTGTAAGTGTCAACCAGACTGTACCTGCTTCTTTGTTCTACTGCTAACAATATAGTTACCCTGCCCCTTTCCTCTTAACTGTGCATTCAACCATTAAAAGGGAGAACAATTAGCTGGTTGTTATGTGCCCCTTGACATTATTGCATTCCCAGCAGGGAATAGTGTTACTCAGTTAAAACTAACATGAGTTTTGGTCAGCCATTCCTTTTTTTGAGATTATAAACCACATTTATCAGCACAATTTATCAGCACAACATAATAATTCTGATTCCTTTTCTCTGGTTTTGGCATGGAGGTGAGCCAGGCCGAATACAACATTAGTAGTGAAGAGTCAGGAAGGAGCCTCTTTACAGTGAACAGCAACCTCAGCGTGACTGCAGCAAAGAGCTCTTATGTGGATTGTCTGGCCTCAGTGTCGGCCCTGCCCACACCACTAAGGAGCAGAATACGTCTAACAGTGGGTGAGAGATGCAACCATCTATTTAAACACAAAATGTCATATGACTATATTCATACATAATGCACAGTGAGAGCCTCTCTTTGCTATGTTCAAGTTAAGTTCTCTGTATTTCTGTTTGTTTCTCTCTTTTCTCCATCTGGTTTTCTCAGTAAATATTTGTTCAGCATATTTTCTTGTCCCTTTGTCATTTTGGAAGCCTACAAATCATTCATGAGCCGTATTGTTGAAGAAGAGAGTGGATCAGAGCTGTTAGATGAACCCTCTAAAAGTTTACATCATAGTAACTGAGATTGCTTCCCTTTCACACATTCCAAATATGAATACTGGCTTTTTATCTTTGTTATATTTGACTTGTATTCCTAACATTTTTAAAAGTCCAGAGCAGCTTCCCTCACCAAAAAAAACAAACAAACTGCACCTTAAAACTGTTAATCTATAAATGACTTACAAAGTCAAAATATTGCTAAATTCTTTCTCCACCAAAAACCCTGATATGAACTTCTTTGATCAGTTGCCGAGGTGGTGGAAGAAGGAGATGACTGCAGTGTCCCGCTGGCGGTGACAGCCTCCCTCTCTGCTTTTCTGCTGCTTCTCCTGCTCTGCATCTGCATTGTCCTCTGGTTCAGACAAAGGAGACAAGCAAGTTAGCACTTTTCTTTTTCTTAAATTGCCCTAGGTGAAAAATACCACCCCCCCTACATTTTCCACAGCAGAGAGTGTGATTAAAGTATAATTAAGAATATGGGCGGTTGCATGCTGTGTGACTCTGTACTACCCCATGCTGGCCTCCACCAAGGGCAAGCAAAATCGTTTCAAAAGAACAGTTGTCGTCAGCAGAAACTTTCTCTTCTCTGTAAAATCAGCAGCATAAAGGTTATCGAATCATACTGTATGTATTGTTACAGAGAGGTTAATGGTTTAAATCCGAGAACATCTTGAGAAATTTGAGCAGGAGAAAGTACTGACTGTAATACCTACTCTAAGCAACTACTACAGTATGTACCCTTCACAATGACATTTTAACAATTTAAGTGTAAATGGGTAAATATGCTTTGAGTCTTGCAATAACAATAAATGTATTAAATTGTATCACACTTGATTGATTTACTGATTGATAGGATTTTATAGTTAGACAAAGCCTGAAATTTGTCTTGCATCACAGCAGCTTCATTTGCTACACAGAAAGTGCCATTTCAACAAATTGTTCCTAACAGCAACAAAGTTATCTTTTACTGGCCTACTTCTTAAATGTACATTTTTTGACAGCAATTATTGTCTTTATTTTGAGTCATTTTAGTCAGATACTGCTAGAACACTCCAGATTTCTCCATAACAAAGGCTGTCAACGTTGTGTACCTGTGTGCTTGTGCTTGTGCATGAACTGAACCGTGCCGAAGCTCACCTCTCCAAATGCGTGCTAGGGCGAGAAAGTGCATCATGCTTGAGCATGGTACGGAGCGGTAACACTGGTCAAACGTACTGGACTCTAGAGGTGAAGCGTGCCTAGGCACGCAAAGGATTGCCAGTGTGACCGCACCCTTATATATGCAAATTGGGGGTATCAAGATGGCAGGTCACAGCTGATGTTAGGTGCTTGGATACAACCCTTTCCATATTTTGCTGTAACAGAACTAAATGCTATTGGTCTAAAGTCATTTAAAAGGCTTGCCCTTGGTTTCTTAGGTACAGGCACTATAGTACTCAGTCCACAGTTCAATGTCCTTGCTCATAGGTTTCTCTCACTTCACCATAGCTCGAAATGTTGGAGGCAGGTGCACCACGTTGTGGTTTGCCTTACCCAGCAGTGGTAGACATCTACTGGATAAGAAAGTTGCACATTCTTCCTTTAAGAGTATTTATGTAAATTGTTATCAGCTATGATTGTCTGTATGTGGACGGGAGAAAAATCTCTCTTCAATACTTTTCCATTGAGCATTATATGATGGGTTGCCCCAACATATATCTCTCATCTGTTTTGTTAAATAATAGTCTGAGAAGGTAGATTTTGGTTTACTTCTGAAGGTTTTGTCTGATATAGATCAAATAATCTAGGTAATATACACATTTTGTGGATTCAATCTTTGAGCTGAAACTAAAGAAAGATATTGTAATGCTTAAATTGTGTGCATGTGAATCAGACTATACACTGAATAAACTGAGACTTGACAGCTGCAGGAACAACAGCTCTATGCACGGAAAGGAAGATGGAAAACAGCTCTGTTTTAAGATGCTTAAAGAAAAGCATATGTTAGAGAAACAATACTTTTATGGATAGCTCCATATGCAAAATGACGGTAATATGATGAGAAAGGTACCCAAATCTCTGGAAAACAAAATGCAAACCATTGCCATATATTCTGGGATTATTTTGTCATCAAAGACTACTGGGAAATCTTTGAGGGGCGAGTGCAAGTCAAGTGTTACCACTTTATAACCTGTTGACTGTTTCTGTACCTGAAATTTCTGATAACTCGCTTACCATTTTCCTTGTTTGAGTCTTACAGCTTTATTGTAATATTCCTTTGTTTAGTGAATTAACTTGTTGGGATGTTGTACATGTTGGCAAATGTGCCCTGCTCTCAAGTCTGTAAGCCCCTTTTTAGAAAATCACTCTCATAGGTAGAAATGTATCCTTTGTAATTAATCAAGAAAGAGAAGGCATCAAATATAGTACATAAAGACTTTAACCAGAAACATGATGACCAAGACAAATTCAGTTTATATCTCTCCTGTGGCAAGAACCATCTGCACCACTGATATTTCTTTTTTGTGTTATCACCATAGTCAGAAATACAGTTTGCAAAACCAACCTTGAAGCTATTTAACAAAACTTAACACTCAGCTTCAGCTTTTACTGTTAAATTGCAAACCAACAGGAAGTGATGAAATCATAAAGTTAGAAAGTGTTTCTTTGGTAAGATGCTGGTTGATCATAATAGCTCTGTGAAGTAAATGGCTTTTTTTTGTATTTTGTATTTTTCAGAACCATGCCAACAGGAGGGAATAAGGTAAGATTTAGGAGCTCTTTTCCTAGACATTGCCAAAACCCCTGATCATCCTCACTTTTTAAACAAAAACAACTTCAACATTAACTGGGCAGTCTTAAGTGAAAGTAAATGGTAAATGGACTTAAACTTGTATTGTGCATTTCTAGCGCACAATTCAATACTACTAAGTGCTTTTACACCACGTCACATTCACACATTCACACTCGGATGGTAGAGGTTGCTATGTAAAGTAACTAATCCCATTCATACACTGCCAACCAACTAACAGGAGTGAAGTTAAGTGAGTTAAGTGTATTGCCAAAGCACACATGGGACATGTTGCTACAGTAGCTGGGGATTGAACCCCTGACCTTCAGGTTGAGAGACAACCGACCCTATCAACTGAGCCACAGCTGCCCCATAAGTGACTGGCAGTTACCAATGAAAGCAGAAATGTCGTGTCATATATTTAGCTCCTCTTATACTTCACATAATCGTTCAATGGTTCAGCATGAATGTCATGCATACAACTTAATTATGGAAATGACTGGGTTTTATTGTTTATCATTGACATAAGTAAATTGAAGGGCGGCATATGAAGTTAAGTGCATTAAAAACTCCTAGCATTTAATGACAACTTAATTAAGATTCAATGTGATCATAACTCATTTTAGAAGCATAAATATAAACATTATATTTGTCAGAGATTTTTTTGTTGTTAGATTTTCCTCACTTTTCTAATAAACACACTGAAGAGAAAGCTGAACACATTGGTTTAGCTAAAAAAATTAGTGAAAAATAATGTTCATTTTTGTATCTGTCAAAGCCCATCACGATGAAAACATAGGCCCCTGCTATACTGCTTTTGTGTGAAAATAATTTTGACTGAATTTGACAGCCTAGCCTCGAAAAAAGTGGCTTTGCCCTATCTTAGCCAGAGGTTTTTCTTTATCATTTAGTGATTCATTTGGTCATTTGCAGGTTTGACCAATCAGGGAACAAGAGAGGCTTTGTTGCTGAGGTGACTGGGGGCAAGGACAACCTGGGCTTCTCGAGTGAGGGCCCCACAGGTGAGGGAGTGACTTTGAGTTTACTAAGGTAATCGTCCTATATCTTCATCATCACAACAGGACTCTTGACAGAGAAACTCTTTTTACTTCATTTTTTCACAATAATCTTACAAACGGTTGAAGGATAGATCAGGCTAAACTGTTGTTTTTTACCCCCCAGGTGCAGAGCACACTAAGATCACCATGGAAACTCATAGCAACATGAATGTTAATAGCTTACACAAGGTAAGACAGAGAAGCAGCAGATACTGGGGCAGGGAAACCGAAAGAGAGAAGGAGAAAATGACGGAGGTTAAGCAATGCAACCTTTATTAGTTTCTGTCACCTCCTCCCATTTTGATGGGAACAAGGGATGTGGAAATACTTTTAATCTGTATATCTACATAACAGCTACACTGAGAAAGTCCTCTACACCAGGCCTGACCTTCAATTGAACAATTGATTGTTATATAATTATTTATTATGGATATAATAATGCAGCTCTCGCATCAGTTAAGCTCCGATTCTCTTTCTTTGAAGTATTACATTTGTACTTTAATCTATAACAATGAGGTCTTTATCTATAGGTGCTAAAGGTGGAAGACAGTCATTTTAGGCCAGCAGTTGTCTCCCATGTCTGCCTGTGATTATACCCTCAACATGTTGTTCCAAGGAACAGGGTTTCAGAATTTGGATTGTTCAGTGTTGCAGAAAATTACCTGCCATTAAAACCCAATTCCATGCTTTACCCCAGGTCCCTGATGTTGTGTCCTCAAGCACCTTGGCCCTGCACACTGATAGCCAAGCCCAGGTGTGTCTATCAGAAGAAAGCTCAACGAATGTCAGGAGGCTAACCACAGTTTAATTACATTTGTTGAGACTGTATTCATATAAAATAGATGTTAACCATGTAAAGTGCCACACAGTACAGTTCTTATAGGTAAACTACTCATAATGTGTGCACTGTGTATTGGATTTTTTAAAGCTTGAAGCATACTATATGTCAAGTTAGACTGAATGTGTTTGTACAACAATACAAAAACATGAAAAAAATGTATTTTTTGTTCTTGGCATTTTGAAGATTGTCAAAGGGCTGTAGAGGGAAGGAAAATGCAGATCGTTGAAAGTCAGGATTCATGTCAGTGCAGGTGCAGATAGAGATTAACATTCATGGAACAGAAGATCTCTAGAAAATGTAAAAAAAAACAAAAAACAATAGTACACATTTTAAACAACCACAGTTTGAGTAGGAATGGACTAGTTAAGACTCGGAGGGGCAAAAGCATGAGAAAATCACAAAATGCAAGTGAGGAGGTGGGCAGGTGACTAAAAAGGAGATGGGATAAGAGAGAACAGGTGAAAATGAGAATGTAGCAGCCAAGAAAGTCTGAGGGCAACAGGTGGATAGAATGAACACGCACGTGAAGGCGCCTGTGGAATTAGAAATTTGGATGTAGAGTTGGGAGAAAGACACACTGCCCGTAAGTTCCACTCTGCAGCCATCACCATGAAAGCTGCCTTGGTGAGATTCCTGCACTGATGTGGAATCTGCAAAGGCAGCATGCAGCTGCAGAGCTGGAATTGTAATTTTTTGTTGTTGATATTCATGAAAATTGGATCAATAAAAAAAAAAGTATTATTTTTTTTTTCTGACACACTACTCAAAAATGCAGTGTGAACAAGTCATAACCACTGGGGTCCTGTTTTTGCAGCTTTGGGTTCAATTTTTAATGGTTGGGATATTATCAGAAAAGTTCATGGCTGACATCTGTGATGCAGCTAGATCATTTATAAAAAAGCAGGGCATAAAAGATAACGAGATGTCAACTGTTGTAGCGGTATTGTCTGTATTTACTACTGTATTTGATAGTATATATGCTGGCGTCAAACTGACACTGGTAGATAAGTCACAAAAAGAGTTCACTGACAAACAAAAAGATCAGGCAGTGAACACAGGAGCAAACTGGCCTGTAGAGCCATCGCTGGAGAAGAGAGGAGGAGGCCTCTGAGATGACATTAGGGCTAAGAGCACAGAGAAAAGCTCAGGCACCAGAGACATAGGAGCAGTGAGGCACACAGATCTAAACGGAGAAACACAGGTAAGGCAAAGTCACTTCAAAAACCACTTACGGAAAGAATACATGACCGAATGAGTCCAATTATCTGGCAGAGTAGTAGGTTGCTAAGCAGAGTAGAAACAGGTGTGCCTCGTCTGCTGCTGTAGGAGAAGCCAGCCACACCCCATTCCATACACATACCTGCAGGAGAAAGAGAGAGGAAAACACAAAACACCTCCAACAAAATCTAAACAAAAGCATCACAGGTGAGGATGAAATACGTTTTCTGGACACTGATTAGTCTCATTAGTTGTATGTTTAAATTGTATTCTTAGCTTTTAAATTGGGGGTTTGCTTTTGGATGAGCAAAACAGATTCAGAAAAGCCACAGGATGTATTGATCATGTATCTGTAGTCACCTTAATCATACGCACTAGAATTAAGGAGAAGAAATGTTTGACTGGATAAATACAGAACTTCTGCAATATACAGTAGGTTGTTAAATGCTTGGGTTTATGGGAAGTTTTATTTGTCTATTATTAAGGCTCTTTATCAAGCACCTGTTGCCTGTGTTCAGGTTCATGAATACACAACTGGATGGTTTCCCAAACAATGTGTTGTGAAGCCTCTGACATTGAGTTAAAGTTGATCAGGGTCGTGCAGAAGATTTCAGAGGGACAGAGGCTCAAATCCAAATCCAAATCCAGTTTTAAAAAATTTAATAAATGTGGCAAATGTGTGAAAGGGACAATAAAAGATATGTATTAAAACAAACGCACGGCTAAAGGTAGTTCAAACAGTGATACATGACAGTTAATAAATAACACGGGAAAGGAACTTATAGGAGCTGTTTCTGTTAAGAGTGTAGTTTGTCTTTTAAGCAGTGAAAGCCGGTCAATAGAGGGCGCCAGGGTGCTGCCCACCCAATCCCCATAAGGAGAATGATAGACCTTCCCTGAATACTATTTTAAAATGTGTTTTAAATAAAGGCTGTACATACAGAAAAGGCAGAATACACATTTTAAGACTGAGCTGTAAAAGCAGCATGCAACTTTCTAATGACTTGGTATGAACTGTTGGACCACTGCAACAGTATTTCTGGTGTCTTATAAACCCATGAGGGTTGAGCACTTTGTGTGCATGACATTTAAGTAAAATGTAATCAGTCATGTACACTGCAAGACAAACGACGTGTGACATTTGGCACAACATCAAAATCAGTTGTGCGACTCAAAAATCTGTTTAGATCGGCCTGAAATCACATGCGTATCCGTGACTTAATAGGTTATGCCAAGTTCCATTCCTTAAAGCTATATTAACAAACCAGAAAAACAAGATTTTTTTTCTCTGTTTAAAAGGGGTAAATGATAACATGAAAAACCAGATTAAAAATACTACTATTTATTATGACCAGCTGAAGTGTAGATGAAGAATACAGGGGTCAATCTACTAACTACATGTTTGTCATGGAAAGCTGTGCTAACTGTTTTCTTTTTGTTTATGTATTGGTTACACACAGCTGGGGTAGGGCAGCAGCAGTCTGCAATTGCAGCTCAGCCTTCTTAAGTTGATTCTGAAAGAGCACAACACTTAAGATAAATCACTCACCTCTGCAGTTACAATCACATTGTAGCTCACATATACTGCAGGGCAAATGCGCATGCCTGGACTGATTTGTGCCGTGTACGTGACTTTGCATAGTATTGCTGATGTCCCCTGCAGTACAGAGTGACTGTGAATTATACTTTGCTCTTAGATCCTGATGTTCAGACTGTGTTTACTGTGAAACTCTGTAAGCTGTCCAGACAAATATCTGTGTTCTACTCAATGTAAAACCAAATGCATACAAATAAAAGGGAAAGAGGTCTGAAACCTACACCTACTTTTTCAAAAACATATTTGGAATAACATGGTCCAGTATAAACTCATGACGTATAATCGGGCAGATCAGAAGCAGTGCTACAGTCTATTTTTTATCTATACTTAGGATAAGAAATTGGTATAAAGATGGATCTCATCTATATTCTTTTTAACACTTTAAGAACATCTTCTTTCTTAAATATTATTCTTCTACTGTAGTTCACTTTATTTGTGTGTGCTTGCAGATTACATAAATTAACTGATCACACAACTATGGTTATAACTCAGTAAAAACGTTATCAAAATTGTATTCATATTTAGTATTTTATAATAAACAGTTTGAAACAGTATATCTTTTAAAAGCAGATCACATATTTGTACTCGTATACTGCAAAAGGTTAAAAACATCCTTAAACAGCTGAGCACTACAGTTCTGGCCTATAACTCAGAAAGGCGTAAATTGTTTATAAACTGGGGAATATACTGAGATGAAAAAGTATATATTGATGCTCAAGGGAGTATTTATAGCAGAAGTTGTGATTAGTTCAAAATAAACTTCCTTATTCAGTTAATAGAAATGGAATATAATTCCTGCTTGTGAGAAATTCATTTTTTTTCTTTTTACAACTGATGAGATGCTTAACACTGAGGAATAAGTGAAACCAGACTCTGGCCACAAAATAATACAATAAATAAGAAAACACATATAAAAATGCATATTGCCTTTTTCTGGCTTTTCAAGGTTTTTTTGACAATAAATAAATAAATAGAGAATGTTGTCAGCCTGTGAACCTACTTGCAAGGGTTTACTTCTTTAGACAGACAGAGATAAAGCAAAAGCCGTATGTGGCCAAACTACAAAATAATTTAAATCTTGGAAATGTAAATGTCTGCTAAAGGCCAGGTCAGCAAACATCTATGTACATATAGAAAGGGACCACATCATCATACTCCATGAACATACATACACAAAGCATAGTTCAAAAATGGTTTGTATCCAACTCTCTCAATCCTCAATGTAAGGATGTAAAGAGGATCTGCAACCCAACAAAACAGAAAAAAGGTTAAACTTGAGAAAATGTCAAATGCATGATTTAAATATAACAGAACAAAATCAAATCTTTCCACACTCTGGAAAGTATTAGTGGATGCATACCTAAAAGCAACTACAACAAAAGTAAGCATGATATATCCAATCAAGAGAACCTAACCTTTTAGTCATGATGCTTTTTTGCAGCACAGAAATCTGTTTTTTCTGTAATTTTAAGAAATTCAATATTTTGCACTGCCATATAGGCTAAAGCAATCCTCTGTGCACACATGTACACACATGGTGCCAGGCTGTATTTTACTTGGAAGTTATCACTCCATCCTCTTATCACATTAAAATCGTAACTTGCCCATAATATCTCTCCCTATAAATATTTTGCTATTGTCTTCCGATTACACAAAAAGCTGGGGATTGAACCCCTGACCTTCCAGTTGACAAATGACCGACTCTACCAGCTGCAACATAGCAGACCTATTGTTCATCTCAAGTTCTGTAAACGGTGGTAGTCAATCTACCTTTTTGTAAAGTTGAAAACCATATATATATTTTTAGTTTAGTTGCCCATTTTGGAAAGACCTTAAAGGGGACATATTATGAAAAAAACTTTTTTTACAGTGTTTTTGAACATATATTTGGGTAACCTGAGTGTGTTTGTAATAACCCACAAAATGTGAAATAAATCCATCCAGTCCTTTGTTTGTGGTCTGCATAAGTCTTACAACAAAGAGAAAAGTGCTCAGTTTCACATTTTCTCAGTTTGTGATGTCACAGTGGGATTCTGGTAAAAAAACAACAACAACAACCCTCCCCTCCCCTGGTATCACCACCCATGGACTCCACCTCCAGCCTAGAAAAAAGCTTTTGCGCAGGTCCGCCATTTTTATTCTCGCTAGCGAAGGAGTGATGTCTACCTGGAAAACTCATGGGGGGCTCATTGCATTTAAAGAGACACACACACCAAAACGGAGCGTTCTGAGAGAGCTGGTTTATACAGGGTCACAAACCTCCTCTGGTGTTTGAATCATGTTATATTTTGACCAAAGCACAGCACAGATGTTTCATTTAGAGCACAGGGGACTGTTTTAAAAGGTGGAAAAGGGGTATAATATGTGCTCTATAAGAATTATGTTTTATGTAATACAAAAAACTACATTAACATTACTTATTTGAGATGGAAAGATAAACAAAGTGTGTGATTTATTTGTGTTATTGTAATATCATTTTATTTCTTTGTGATCATACTTTATTTTTGTAATTGTGACATCTATTTATTAATGATTATGCTTTGTATTGTTCGTAGGGCATCCAGATGAACCACAGTTCTGTTTGTGGTTTATCGGAAATTGTGAAGTTATATTATTTTATTACACAGATTCTCCAAATCTTGCTCTTATTTATATTTGGGCAGCTGTGGCTCAGTTCGTATAGACGGTCTTCTTTTAACCAGAAGGTCAGGGGTTCAATTAGTTTCATTCCATATATTCAGATTTCATTCAATATATTCAAAGTTTCATTCAATATATTCAAAGTTTCATTCAATATATTAATTTCTTAAACGGCCTATCATAGTAAAATGTAGCCTATGCCATGTTTACTGTTTAAACAACGCTTAAAGTTCTAGGAATCTCATCTTGCTCTTTATAACACAATGGTGGTAGTGAAATAACCATTCCTATAGATGACATCATTCGTATTGCTTGAAATGCCTTCCAACGCTGACATTTGTACGGCCGGATGTTCATCAAAAGGGAGAGAATCTATGGCTGATCATGGCGTATGAATATTTGAAGGAGCTGCATGGTGACTTAGGAGACCCATTTGCCCAAGGCATTCCTATTGGTTTATTTGTGACGTGATGAGACGGAGGAGTTCGGCTTCACGCTTTATAAAGAGCCTCTGTCCGCGGCGAGCCACTCTCTTCAACACTACTGTTGCTGAAACTTATCGTTCCGAAATTTTCGAACTGAGGCCGCCGAGAAACCGAAACATTACCGTCCATCATGAGCGAGGTAGGATTGTTTTATGTTTTCAAATACAAAAACGTCCGCATTAACCTAAGAGCGCACGTACCGCGCTCTAAGGCGCAGATATCCACATGAGAGACTTAAGAACCGTTTGTGGTGTCCTTTCATCTGATGAGATTTCTCATCCGACATTTACTAATTTGATTCATAATCGTTTAAGAGTCTGTAGTCAAAACTACTAGATCATAGCGCTGAACAGGATCAGTGTAGGAAACACCAGGACGCACAATGCGCTGTGGACAACCCCCTGACGCGGCGGAATAGTAGATTTACGACTGATGACAGTATGTTATTTGGGTTTCACTTCAATGGTTCAGACATACTTCACATACAAGTCATAATTTGAAGTTGTCTGCGCGGTTTGACAAAACTCTTAAGTAATGCAATGTGTCAATGAAAAGGAAAAGTAGCCATAGTATTTCATTCCTCAAGTGATCTATCTTAGTCTTTGATGCCTTATTATGATAAAAGTAGTTTAAAGCTCAATATATTGTTTGTTTTGAAGAGTATTGAATGTGATTGGTTGAGAAGTAGCTGTGCAAGTGCAGGTTGATGTCACACTCTCACTTACTCATTATTTTTTAATGGAATCTTTTTAGTGAAGGTTCACTCTCTAGCTAAATTTCATTGGACTATTCTGTTTAAATAACACATTAAAGTCCAGTACATTTATTCACTCATTGGAGAAATATGTCATCAAATGTATGCATTTGCATTTTTTAAATGATAGTGACAGAGACTATGTAGTGTTCATGAATGACAATCATGTCTGATCTTTATTACTTCTCGACAACATGAATGTTTTTCTAATGCTTATAAGTGGAATGATTAATTTAAGTTACAGCTTTATCACCTTAATAAAACCAACTAACAGACATGAATTACTTTGAGCTTTCTTTTCTGCCTCAAAATTCTTCTTTTACATAAATAAAAAATAAATGTAAAAGGCAATGTGAAAAATGTTCTGCTGCATAGCACAGTAGTACAGAGAGAATATATTAAGCCTGAGCGTGAAGTCGAAGCTCTAGGGGTATTCTTATTTGTTCATAATTTAGGTATGTGTGTATACATTGACTAAATCTTTATGGGCTTACACTCAAATGTGTGTCTTTTAATTCCAGTTCATATGTTAACCGAGGGAAACATGGGAATACAAGTGCCCACAGAGGATAAGTAAGAAGCCTGAGCAATTAAGTTTTATTTGACTCTCCAGAAGGTGTAAAAAGGGCAGTAAATCTCGCTCAGGTTAAAAAAAAAAAAAGAAAAAAGACTGCAAACACAGTCCACCAAATAGATGTACCACATATAACATTATGAACACATGGCTGCCTCAATTGAAGATGAATTTAGAGTGATCACAGATTAACAGCTTTGAATAATTGAATCTCGTCAGTGAAATCATTTGAGCCTTTTTGCTTGTTAATCATGTGCAAACTAAACCTCTACTGTTTATTTAAAGAGTTATAATTTTAGGAAAACCTTTCCGCAATGTGAATGTAATGAAGAGAAGGTGGCAGTAGAGGATGTAATGAATTTCCTGCTGAGTTGATTATTCAGAGTGGAGTTGTTCTTAATCAAAGTCATCAATTTATCCGCTGTCTTTTGGCCAGTAAGTGAGGCAGAGCAGCACATCACGTTCTGGATGGATGAGTCTTGCAGTGGTCAGCACTGCAGTGCTCCCTCCCTCATCCCCACCGCACTGCCTTTTCTCTCCACCTCCCTTTCTCTCTACCTTATCTTCTCTAAACTGCATAGAATAAGAACAATACTTAACAGTGATACAGTGTTTCCCGCAGGAAATTCTCCAGTTAAGGTGGTAGCTGTCTTGTCTGCGAGTGTGGGGTGTGTGGGAGTAAGGGCTGTTTAAAACAGCATCAAGTGAGTGCTTTCAGATGGGGCTATAGGTTTCCTACTGTCATTGCGAACTTTGACATTTTTAGCCTATGCTGTGGTTAAAAGTTTCAGACTTTTGGGGCCCCCTACTGGCCTCGGACCCAAAAAGCAGCAAAAAGGCGCTGGATCAGCAGGATCAAAATTTCCAGTTACAGTAACACGGACTTACATAAGTCAGTTTAAGTTTTCACAGTTGCCTGTAGATGGTCAGTTTGTTTCTATAGGCATGGCAACTTCTTTTTTTTTTTTTTTTTAGAGATTTCTTTTCGGCTTTGTGCCTTTTATTTGACAGGACTGTGGACACAGTAGGAAACAAGGGAGAGTGGGACATGAGGAGGGGGAAGGAGAAAAGTAATGTTGGGTTTTTGCATACTTTGCAAAGCAGCATTTGCCATCAATGTATTAATGTGATCTTCAATAATTCCTACCTCTTTGGATATTCTGCATTCTTAATGATTTAAAAATACCTTTGGTAATGTGCAACTGCAGTGGGTAATCATATAGAGTATTCAGGATACTCTTAATTAGTATTTGAGCTGAATACAACAGCCAATGGAAAGGAAACATACATTTGACAGCAGAAGCAGTTCAATCGACTTATAGTAGAGTCTGGAACTTCTCTTTGTACTTGGATTGAACTAACCCTGACAATGTGACTATGAGGTGAACACATTAATAGTCAGCATAGGGGCCCTGACAGCCTATCAGTTGGTCGTGTCCTATGTTTGAAAGCTATAGCACTCCAAGTGGGGAGGGGGCTTGGGTTCTCCTGAGGTAAGACAGGACGTTAGAAAAAAGGTCGTTTGTTACATGGCACTATGGATGGTATTGGAATTATGTTTTTTTTCCTCTTCTGCTATTCTATTACTGTGGTTCAGACAACAATTTCTATACAACTATTTGATGAATTGCCATTTAATATTGTGAAATGATGCATAGTCCAAACACTTAACACACTCCTACACATGAGTTCTTACCATGAGACTTTTGATTTGAGTTATTATGTGCAACTCTAACTTTGACAACCTCACAGCCTGGATGGATGGGACCCCAGGTTGGGAACCAATGTCTTACAGCCCCTTTAAACATGTTTGATCATTTTGATAATGTCATAGTAAATCACCACATCCAGAATGAATACTTTCATCTGTTCTATATCGTCACGTTGATTCAAGGTTCCCTCTTGAGGCGAATCAATAAACACTACATCAACCAACACAATCTTAAGTTACAGCAAATAAACAGTGTGAGTGGCAATTTACTCAACCCTAGCATTATAAATCACTTGAATTAGAGCTGAACAAACAGAGACACTTTTACAGACCCGGCGACTAAGTGACTGGGACATAGAAACCTTTTTGTAATGCAATGGCCATAAATTCACTAGCTGCGTTACCAGGGCCTTAGTTCTATAATTTAACTGGATTGCAATGAAAAATAAATCAATGAAGTAAATAGACGTCTTCATTAAGTCTGTTGCTTTGGTGAAGTGCTTTGCAAGCTGTTTACTCAGCTCTTTTCATCCTGCCACTGATGAATGAGTTTCTTTCAGCTTTAACTACATGTATTAAAAAAAACTCTATTCCACACGATTACACATTTTAAATACAAACAATTTTGTTGAGCATTCATTTTCTGCATCAGTGTTCAAATTTCAACATAACAAATTGGGATATGAGAGACTTTTTGACAACCATAAAATGTGTGAATTTATTATAAATCATTCAACAGCATCATTCTGTGAAAAAAATACACACGTCTTGGCTCAAGGTGTGTGTGAATTTGTACAAGTGGATAAGTGAATACTTAGACACCTAAGACACCTAAAAAAGTAGCCTCTGCCATCAGTGTGTGAATGTAGTGTGAATGGGTAAGTGAGACCTGCGACATGGATGGACTGGGAAAATAATTCAGTTGGGTTTGACTTAATTCCAGCCAGGCCACCATTCCACATGAACTACTATTTCTGTAGGCTAACTGTGTCCCTTTATAGTTCTACTTTTCACATTCAGTTAAAACAGTCGCTTCAACAGTATAAGTGTCACACAAATGTTTGAGCTGCTGTGGTCTGTGTCTCACTGCAGGAAAGGAGTGTGATTGCCCGGCCTGCTGGCTGGCTGCTCCGAGCAGAAGTTATGGAGCTCCTCTAATTCCACCAAAACGGAAAACATTTTTGATTTGATGTTTTGTTTTCTGTAAAACTGTAAATATGTTGATTCTCAAACATCAACTTCTCACCTCAAAAAAATCCACAAGTGAATCCAGTGGTGAGATAGTAAAAGAAAACACTCCGTAGCTCGCCTCCTCATCTTCAAGGTGTTAGTAACAAAAACTACATGCTGTAAAACAGAAATGTCTATTGGATGTAATGAATGGTGATTCTCTAATCACTGGATCACTTTTATTTTTTATTCACACACATTTTCACTGCACGCATGCACACACACACACACACACACACATAGAGACACATGCAAAGACATACCCACCAACCACACTGGATCTACCCGAGAGCAAATATTTGTACACAAGGATGTTTAGTAGGGAGGGGCAGTATCTTATAACAATACAAAAAAGGTACAACAAAAATATGAAAATAACAAATGAAAATTGTTTGGTTGGTTTCACAAGAACTTTCTGTGCTACGTCGGTGGGGGGCTGCCTCTTCAGGGTCTGGTTAATCTTTAGGCTAAATAGTTTTAATATCACTCCCTTTCATCAAACAATGACACTATCCCCACCAAGAAGCCCCTTCCCCAAGCTTGAAGAGTTCAATGTCCTGGTGATCCGAAGTGCCCATGCCTAGCAACATTATCGGTAGCCATGTTTTTTTATGTAACAGAGTTTGGTCTAAATTGGATGTAATGTTATTAACGTTAATTTTCTGGTTGATGTTATACGCAGCCACCAGCTGATACCTGAATGGTTAATACAGACACGATAAGATTAAACAGAGAACATTTAAAGCAGTGTTTGAATCTGTGCACACTGAAATAAGCATGAACTTGTGTAAAAATACATTTTAAAAGACTGTATTGTCTTTCTATTTCTACAGCGGATTTCCATGGTGCATACAAGCACTTACACTTCAT